GCTCGAACCAAATTTCCTCACAGAAATGTAACAATTGGGAACGGAAAAAGCATTCAACAACTACTAGAGTTCGGTAATTGAATTATTAGAAATTACTGACGTACAGTAATTTTCTGGTAACTATTTCGCTTACATTTCTGTAAGGGCTAACAATCAATTTTCCACTAAACAGATTTCACTCCAGGGGCAGTAAATTCATGGTGGGACCAACGGACGATGTCTATTAATTTAGCAGAAACTCCACTATCTCATATTAGGTCTCCGCCGTCCCAACGTGTGAATGTAACTTAAGAAATGAATGAGTATGAGTCTAGCCGTGGTCATGTTATGTTATTATACAGCAGGAGTGGTTAGTGTGGTAAAATTTAAACTCATAAAGTTCTTCAAAATATGCCACGTTGCCCCACGATTACGTGATTTTCAGGGTAAATTTTAAGAGAAAATTCTCCCCGTGTATTAATAAAGTTCTTGTCACACAGATTGCACTTTCTGGCGCTCAATTCAATATAATATTTTGCTCAATTTCTTGCCATTACCGTTGGAACACTTAACCGTAACAGTTTTGTAGTCTTATCTCATTATACCGGGTGACCATTAGAATTGTGTTGAAAGTAAATGTTTATTATTTCGTAACAAATAGGTCGAAGAAAATTAATCAACAGCTATTTTGTAGAGGAAACTTGTCAATTATATTACCATACGTATAAAAGCTATACAGGGTGTACTAAAACCACCGGATATCCTTTTAATCGTAAATTCTATAGAAAATTTCAAGACGAAAATTCTAATACAAAAATGTCGAGGCTATAATAGTATTTCAATAATAAGCGATTATATTTCACAAATGATAGGCCTGAGATTTCGCGCGCTCAGGTACGGCGACATGCCAAGTGATAAAATTGTTCCTACGAATGTAGTCGCCCTTTTCATTCAGTTCTGTGCTGATTCTGCTGGACGACATTTTGAAAATTATTAATTTATGCGCGCAAGCAAATTTTTATCTTCTTTTTATAAGATGTATTTAAATTATTAAAACATTATGTATATTTTTTATACGTATGTTAATAAAATTGACAAGTTTCCGCTACAAAATGATGGATGATTCATTTTGTTCTATTTGTTACGAAGCAATAACCATTTATTTTCAACGCAATCCTAATGGTCACCCTGTAGAAATCGCTTCTATTCAATCATTAATTTCTAGATGCGTTAACATGAGATATCAAATATACCCAAATCGTGGCAAAACGTACAAAAGCGTCTGAAACAAAAAAAATGTTGCGCTGGTATCTTTGCGGAAGGATTCAGAAGTATAAAAAAATAATATACGTATTGTGCAGCCGGGATGTGTCTCACTTATCTGTTTACGCACGTCCGCTTGTCTACGCATATAAATTTTTCGTATGTCGCCGTAAAAACTCGTGGTTTTGCGTATTCGGACTGGAATTTTATACAAGATTCAATCACGACCCGTGGACACAACGGTCGTTAAAATTTTATGGGGATTAAAGCGAATTTCATGCGGGAGAGCGATGAAGTGGTGTCCCTAGCGCGTAAACTCCTTAGGCTGTTCGGCGCTTACTTTACTGCCCGGTAAATAATAGCCGCGCGCGTGCGATTGGTTCGCCGTTCACGTGCCGCAAATCGTAATTCGGAATTCCCGCGACGACGATCGTGAGGCAAATTATCACTGTCACATTGTCAGGCCGATTTAACGCGATAAATTAGCCGTTAAGTGTTGTCGCGAATTTACACGGCATTCGTGACCGTCGTCTTAAGACGCACCGTATCAAAATGTACTTTCGAATACTATGTAACAAATTTACTCTTAAATAGTACAATATGATATATTTTACAAGACAATGCACGCGAGAGAAAAAAGATCACTCTTTATGAATATGTTTTAGTACAAATAAAAAATAGAACATATACTTATTTTTTATATTACGCTCTTACCACTTGTCGTTATATTATTTTCTGAGAATATTCTGTTAAAAGGGCAAGTTGTAAAAGTATTTTAAGCAAGGCATTGTTCGAGGGCAATTTATAAAAGATGTAATAACATTTTTTTTAATTCTCCCTCCCATTAACGATTATCATTTTTTAATTAAATATTTTTATGGCAGAATTAAAATTTATTCAATAAACCAATGTAGGAAAATTAATAAACGACGCTAACTGGCAAATTCTAATTGGAGAAATGCATTGCGAAAAATATTACCTCAGCCAGGGTTTGAACTTAGACCTCCCTCACACCAATTCATCCACCGAGCCGTGTGGTAATATTTATGGCAATAAACAGTCTAACGTTATTTCACGAATGTCACATATCGTGACTTAACGTTTATTGTTAGTTAAAGGTAAATTTAAATGTAAAAAAATTTTAATTATCAAGAACAATAACGTGCGCTAGAGATACGTCGCCAAATATATATTTTCGAAAAACTTGCAAACATAAAATATCTTCGAGACCATAAAACTTTTAATTAGCATACTTTCCCGTATCTCTTATCTTATCTGCTCTAATGATACATGGTTGGAAACATAAAAATCGATTTTTCTCAAGGAGGTATTTCACTCCTTTCACCCACACACGAACACCTATTGAGAAATAAATGTCGCTTATTTTAAAATTTTTACCGAGGGGAAAACCGCTGACCAAAATCTTGTACACCAATGCCCACTTAATGCCCAGTGGGCATTACTTTATCTTATTATCTTATTTTATCTTGCTTTATCTTATTATATCTTTATAATGCCCCAGCAAAGCGTAATGCCCGAACTAATGCTCGAAAAATGCCTAGTAATCCCCAGTAATGCCGCGAATCTGTACATCACAATGCCCTCAGCGGTTTCCCCCTCGATTTTTACTTAACATTCTGCACTAAATGTCACAGTTACTTCTTAATTAAGTAAATATAACTGACAGAATCAGGAAATTCATCATAAAAATTACAGAAATGAAATATAGGATATTCTACGTACGTATCTCTCTGTTAACATATTTTCTCCAATACTTTGAACTTTTTTTATTAAAGCGAGTCGTGATAAGTTTGAGAAAATGTCCAATATTTTAACGAGCATGAAAAATTTCTGTAGGTCGATGCATATATAACAGAAAAGTACTCTATTTGTCGTTTCCCTCGCCCGATGTTGAGCTTAAGAGGGGAGCTTAATACCAAAAATGCCTATTCCAGACGCATATGTAAACTAGGCACTTGGCCGTGTGCAGGACGTTAATTGGAAGTACGGCGGGGAAAAAACCGATCTCACGAGTGCTCGCGCGACAAGCAAAACGAGGGAAGTCGAGTGCTTTTGCAACGCGCTTTCGCAAGGAAATTCGATTAAAATGATGATTCGTTAATCGAGTCCCGAATTCAGATAAGCCGGTAATTCTCCTTAAGAACGTGAGAGAGAAAGAGAGAGAGAGGCGACGAGGAGAATATATTTCGGCCATAAATTAAAGCCTCGTTAAAACGCGAAAATCGCATTTCACGTTAGCGAGTAATTACAAAGGTAAGAAAAAAAACATTGGAGAGAGGAAATAAAAATATAATGAAGCGCGCAGTTTTCCTAGTTCAATTTGGCGCAGTTTACGACATAGATTATACACGAATCAGAAAAAAAGAGAATGGAGATGAGGCAGAAAGGAAGCAGCGAGCCGCGGCTGATTGAATAATCATTATTCTATAGCACAATTAACTGCCGTACAAACACAAACGATATTTGTCACATAGCGCTGCGCTAAGTTAAAATGATTATTTTTCCGTTCGAGCGTGCGAGGCGACTCGATGGCGGCCGAATTTATTGTTGCGACGCGCCTGGCACGGCGATAATGACAATAAATCAATTAACAACGGGCCGCGGTAATAACAAATCGCCTAACGGCATTGGTAATCCGCCGGTGGGGAGCGGCGGCGTAATTCGGTGGTCCCGACTCTCGACGCCGAGCCGCCAAGAAAGATTAATCGCGATAATTGAACGGCGTTATGCAACTCTGAGCGAGTTAGCTCCTCAAGAGTAGCGATTTTAATTAAATTAGCGTTTCACGTTGCCGACTCACTTACGTGTCCGGTTTCCGAAGGCTTTCTGGGTTAACTCCGGAGTGTTTGCATAACGGCGACCAATGCGCCACCGAAATACCGTCCCCTCAGCGACGACCCCCGTCGCACGGGGGGGGGGGGGGCCGTTTGCGACGACAACGACTTCATTCGCCCGAGGAGACCTCGCCGTGTGTACCGCACTTATCGCACTTATCCCGTCGGTTACGTTTTAATTGCATTTTGATATTGTCGCGACTCGTTCTGGCGCACTTAAGCCCGTGTCGGACTACTGACTCCCGACTCTGACTCGACTACTGACTCGGACTCGGACTCCCGACTACGATTCAACCAATCACGGCGAAGCACGGCCGAGCCTGACTCGGGAATAGATGCCACTCTAATTGGTTGAATCGTAGTCGGGAATCCGAGTCAGAGTGGTCGAGTCAGAGTCGGGAGTCTGTATAGTCTGATACGGGCTTTACGGCGCCTCGCGCGATCCGGACGACTCGTCGACATCCGCTGATAATTTTTGTCACGACGACGAGGCGAGTGAGATCCGATTTGCCGAGATTATTATTTCCCGCGGGCGGGATTCTCGGCGTCGTTTCATCGACGTCTCTGCAGGAACGCATGTTTACCACCCCCGCTCGAGGAAAAGAAAGAGCGAGTCGCTGGTAGAGGGATGGAGAGACGGGGATGAAAGCGAGGACAAGGCTGAGAGAGGGAGGAGAGAGAGAGAGAGAGATATGGGCGGGGGAGAGAGCAAGAGAGAGAGAGAGAAGAGGGATCGACATAAACACGAGGGGTTGCGAAAAGTGCCAACTAGGTTACCCGCGACAACCCTCGGTAGGACGCGAATCGACGTCGCGCAGGAGTTCGGAGCTCGTTCCGTAGACGCGCGCACTTCTCGCGCGTCGTCCCTTACCCTGAATCCCTCGGCTCGAAGGTTAAGTCTGGATGTACTCACCCTTGATGCGAGATGCGGGCCGGACGACAACAACTGGCGGCGAGGGTGCGGACGATCACCAGATACCGGCACTTGGGGCACCACCACCGCCACCAGCACCATCCACGCCGACGGTGCCGACGGCGAGGGTGCGCGCGGGTAACAACGGGGTGGAATTTATAACCTTGCGCGGCCCGCCGTGCGAGCGAGACCGGAGGGCATTCCCGCGAGCGGAGAGGAGCGTGAAGAGCGGGCGCGACGTGCCGTGGACGAGGCGCTCGCGTGCGGCCCTTGCCTCGGCTCCGACGGCGACTCGAGGGCCGCGGGGGGCGCACCAGGAGGCGCGCGCGCCGGAACGAGTCACCGCGATCGCGGCCCCGAGGGTGAAAACGCTCCCGAGCGCCGCGACGCGCTCGTCGACGACGGCGACGGTGACGGCGGCGGCGAAGACGACGGCGACAACGACGACGACGGCGACGACGACGACGACGGCGAGGAGCGCACAGCGAGTAGACGAGAACGGCCTCTCTCGCTGCTGCTACCACCACCGACACCGCCCTCGCGTCTCCGCGCTCTCCGCGGCATCGGGCGCGGCGGAAGCGCGCCGTCGCGTCGCGACGCCGCCTCGCGAGTACGCACGCGCCGCGCCGCCGCGCCGGAGGGTGGCCAGCTCCCGCCTCGTCGCCGCGTGTGTACACATACGTTTCCCTGCGCGCGGGTTAGGTCCACTTCGGACTGCGATAACAGCCGACAGGGTGCGACGGTTTACCCTCGCCTTAGATAAGGGACAGCTACCCCCGAAACGGGGGTGGCCGAGCGGTATCACTCGGAGTTTTGTCCACCGCCCTGCATTTCGCGAGAAATTTCCGAATCGCCGACGGACGCTCATTGCCGGCCTCTACGCGGAGAGAATTTTCTCTTAGAATTTATCCCAAAAATCAGGTAAACGTGGCATTTCGAGAAATTTTGTGAGAGTTTTTTCAAGTTTTACCGTACGTTTTACTAGCAATTATACTTGGTAAACATTTTACTGCCACGTTGGCCCACGATCACACGATTTTCACACGGGTGAATTTGAAAAGAGAATTCTCCCCGTGTAACATTCCGCCTTTTATCACTGACCTCTCCCTCCGAAATATGACCTGATATTAGTGTAAATCGCCCCCCGTAGAAAGCAGGTGGATTAGAAGAGGAAGAAAATTTATCCAGCCGCATTTCATTAAACTAAATTGAAGCTAGGGATTAATTTAAAAGTCTCCCTTCTCTATTTAACAAAATGTATGTCGCGCTTTTTGGTGACAAGTTTTTCGACTCTTATAGATAAGATAGATACTATATAAAAATAATTTACTAATTTACTACTCATTACCTGGATACTTTAACAGAATAATAGCTAAAAGCTTATATTTTTTAGTAAATTTTTTAAATAGTTGGCATCACTGTGTCTATATGGTTGCTATTACTAATATAGTAATAATTACTATAAAATTATATTCCTGACTGTAATTATTTCACTATGCAATTGTAGTTTTAAATACATACATATTTTTCTATTAGTGTACTTGAAATATTCCATAAAAATAATGCAGTTGGTCATGAGCAAAGAAAAAAAGATTTATTAAACAAAAAAGAATTATGGAAAATAAACGTACAATAGGATTATGGAATATAAACATACGCTGATAGAAAAAAATGGTTGTAGTTACCACAATCTCACTATATAATTTATTAAGTCATTTTAAAAGCCACCACATTTTTATCATTTTTCCAACTACGTAAGTTACGGTTGATCTAACAATGTGCTGTAGTTCTCATAGACACAATATTGGTCCATGCAACTTGCGATATGGTTGTCATAGACATAAAAGGCAGACAAGATAGAAACCAATTTCTTACTGAAATTAGGTAATTACATAAACTTATATAAAAGAAGTGAATTATTAAAAAACTGAAAATGGGCAGAAGGGATGAAGAGAAGTGAAAAATTGTTAAACGAAATTCTCCCCTCTCTCTCCCTCTCTCTTTCTCTTCTCTGAGGATCAAGGAATTTATAACTTTGCAATACCCGATTTCCCAGTTTATGTATTTTATCGGAGTTAACGTCTAAACTCAAAGTTATTTTTCAAGGATCTTGCAGCTTATCGTGCAAATCAAATCTTTCGTGTTGCAATGTAAACAAGACTTTTATTAGGCAATATTTTCACAACTAATTGAGAAACTTGAAGAGAAAAATTGAGAGAGAGGAGGAGGACTGTGTTTATTTTAATCCTTTATATTAGTGTCTAATATGGAAGACGGTATCTTCCGTAGAAGAATATTAAACATTTTACTTGAAACATTTTTTCCCGTCAATTTTTTATCACAAATTTGCGACAGATCCTTTATAAAACAGCCTGATTCTGCCTTAAGTAAGAATGTTTTATAAAGGCTCGGTCGCAAATTTACGATGAAAGATATTCAAAGAATCAAGAAATATACAGGGTGGGGCACAAACACCTGACGGTTTTCGGAATAATCTGAACACTGTGTGTTTGGTCAAAAATTCATTCTAGTCATGTTGAAAGATACACAATTGCATGCAGTTTCAGATGACATGGTTCACGTTTGAAAAATAATGTCTATGAAGTGTCCACCCTAATTTTCCACGCACTATTCCATCCTGGTAGGAAGAGAATGCATTACTCACCGTAGAATGTTCTGTGGGATCTCGTCTATGGCCACGCGAATGCGCTGCTTCAGCTCCGAGATGGTTGCTGGACGTGTTTCGTACACCTTGCTTTTCACAAATCCCCACAAGAAGAAGTCTAGCGCTGTTAGGTCTGGTGAACGGGCGGGCCACTGCATGTCGCCATACTGTGCGATAAGGCATCTGGGAAACAAAAAACAAACTAAAATCGTCAGTGAACCCCGTCATCTGAAGCTCCGTGCAACCGTATATCCCTCAACATGACCAAGACATATCTTTGACCAAGCACACAGTGTTCAGATTATTCCAAAAACCGTCAGGTGTTTGTGCCCCACCCTGTATTACACCGATTATATTACTACGTTAAAATCCGATTCTTGTGACTCCTTTATGGGACATTCGTTGATGAGAGTACAATGTAAAATTACGTTGATACGAGATAAACCAGTGTAACACACAGATTTCACAAGCACCGTCAAGTTTTTGAACTTTTGGAAATTCAATCGATCCGAAACAACTGCTTGATGGATTAATCCGCGCCCGTGCAAGATCATACGTAACATTTCACGCGCTTAACAACCCCGGCATTCTTTATCCAATTTTCGCGTTCAATTTTTTTACATTCTTTTTTTTACCCAAGTTTCCCTCGAAGACGTTCGTTCGTACTCCAAAGTTTCAATCGAGAGGTGACTTGCCACCTGTCAAATCGTGCGATTAATCGAATAAGTCTCGAAAAGGAGCACAATGAAATACCCATGCACACGCGGACCCGGAATTTGTCGGATTTCTTTGTAACAGATGACATCGTCCTTGTTTTCACGAATTCACGCTCCGGTATTCTTTACGTTAAACGAGGACGCGAGCCCGAGGGGCTGTGCAAAGAATATCTCTCTCTCTCTCTCTCTCTCTCTCTCTCTCTCTCTCTCTCTCTCTCTCTCTCTCTCTCTCTCTCTCTCTCTCTCTCCCCCTCTTGCCAGACAATGCAGATTCAATTAAAAGTCCCCTCTCGATGTGAAAACTTTTCCAATCAAACTGATACGTGCTGGCTCGCCCTTTTTCGCCCGCAGGATTTTTTTCCCCCGCAGCCGGGACCCTAACGCGATGGGATAGTAATTATGTCGGTATCAATTTAACAGTTTTCGACTTTCGTTCGCTCCGCCTCGCGGAATAATTGATCAAGTACCAACAGAGGTCTGTTCGCCCGGAGCAGATCAGATGGAACGATGTTTATCGAATTTCTCCCGCAGTTTCCTTTTCCCGACGCGAATTTTGTCGCGAAAACAAGTTCCAGCGCATAAGCGCGCCGTAATAGCGCTTATCTATCAATATACCTCCCTTTGCGGAGCGTGTCGCGACGCATTCGACAATATTTGTTTTCCATCTTATTTCGACACATGTATATTTATATTTACATATATTGTGTCATTCTCCAGCCATGGTAGACGGCGTCTATATCTTTGTGCCGTTAGTTTCACAATCATGACCCAACTCCGTTGGATTTTTATCGTTTAACTGCATATCACATTGGCCTGATTTGTTTGAAGAATGTGTGCTTGATAAGGACCCAAACCCGCGGTCGGAACGTCGCACTGTACATGCTTTTATTTTAATTGATGAAACACGTACCAGTTAAGGTCGACTAAAACCTATCGATTGTTATTTATTACTGGCAACCTAAAGAGCTTATCATGCATACATATATTTGTTTGCGCTACGCTATCTCTGAATTATGTAATGTTATCGGAGACGCGACTAATGGCAGAAGGACAACGTGAAAAGCCTTTCGCCGCGCCGAGAGATGAAAGGCGAGTGGGAGATTTCACGATACCTAAAATCGATAATTCCGGACGGGCATTCTATGGCCAAAACTACACGATGCACTTCCTCGGCCTCGTGTAAGCCAAGACGTTACTTGGCTTCGTCCGCGTTCGCGCTAAATGTGTGTCCACGCCTCTAAAGACCGCAACTTTCCCGCAAAAAGTTTCCTCCTCCGCGAGAAACTTTTTCCGGAAATGTGCGAGGAGCAGAATCGCGTCGTTTTGCGGCGAGCGGCGCGACGCCCGCACTAAATCCGCGGACTCTTCTCGGATTTCTCGCGATTTCCGTTTCCCGCGGGGCGTTAACGAAATCGCGCGCGACTGTTCTCGCGCGGCGATTACGGGGGAAATTTAATTTTCAAAAGTGTCCCCGCGCCCGGGCGGTGGCTCGTACTTTTCGGGCTTTCCGCGTTACGAGCGGGGAAAAATTTTTCCCTCGGCAAATGCCGCCCCGTCGCTCGCGGTAGCGTTTTTGCGCGAGAGAAGCCCCCGCTCCTCCTTTTTCTTCTCCCGGTGCCTACTGCCGCTTTAATGTCCGCGGTCCCCGAGTTCGTTTCCACGGCAGCCCGCGGCGATGGATCAAACTGTTTAACTCGCTCGAAAGGTTTGCGGAGCGCTGCGAGAGTTTGGACGGTTTTCTTCTTTTTCTTCCCTCGCAGTACAGTGTGTCGGGATCGATGTGATGCCTGCGCGTCCGACGTGTTAATTAGCCCGCGGAAGAAATGTCTGCTTATCTGTAAGGATCTGTTTGCACATCTGTGCGGCATCGTTATGTGTACCGAATGATTACTGAATGTGCTCTTCTTATTGGTATATATCTATATATAAGAAATAATTGTCTACCAATGAGAATTCTTCAATGTCGCCCGCGATAATTAACGACGCCCGCCTAGAGCGCAGGCAGGTTCCAGGTTCAAACCCCGGCTGAGGTAATATTTTTCGCAAGAAATTTTCTGTGTTAAAAACACGTTGCCAGCTATGGTCGATTGAATGCTTAATTATTCATAATTAACAACGTCGGTGTTTCCTTGGCCATACCTGGCATTTTTAATAATACAGAAAATTTATTGCGAAAACGATTACCTCAGCCAGGGTTTGATGTATTCTAAGTTGGATTGGACTTATAAATGTTAAAAATCTCGTGTTAACTGTTAAACACATTATGTAAACTGGCGTGTATTAATGAAAAAAATGTCAAGATAGCCGTAAAAAGGGTAAAAAAACCTGGCGCCACTTAAAAAATTATACCTCATAAATATTATGCACTTTTTGTATCGTTAAATCGCCATCAATAATTTTTCCAATATCTTGATTGATGCAATTAATGAAACGTCAATTTATAACAAATTACGTGGCTCGCTTCAAATATTAATAAAAAAATGTTACATAAATTGCGTTAAAATAGCTATTTATTCGAGTCAATGGTCATTCGCTAATTTGTTTTTACTGTCTCGCGCTCTTTCACGATTGATTTTCGATAATATATTTTTGCGCAAAAAGTCGATTCGAGAAATTAAATACATAAGTCACTTGTCAATCGATCGCTCCGATTGCAACTACCCTGCGCCTGTTTCTCCAAAAAGATCGTTGCTATTCCGACTGTGCCCGCCGATGTTAGTCAGGATTTAAGGAGGCAACGGAGAACCGCCTCGACCCGAGTCTACGCAGGAGCGCGTGATAAATTGGCTTATCAGAGACACGTGGACTGACACGACGTATCTATCAGGCGAGCACATTTAACATTGAATTTGTCGACGTTGAGCGCAAAACGTACGTACAAGTGCATATATAAAATGCATGAATCCGCGTCGCGCGAAACGTTCTTTACATCGTGAGACGTGTGTCATTCTCGCGCGCAGTTCCTGTCGAAACAATTTCGAAATTTCTCCCGAGCTCCGTAGTTCTCACACTTTCGAATTGCGTACATAGATTTGTTAACGAAAACCGTTGCGACGAATAGCGCGTAAATGATCGCGTCAATTCGTTAAAAGAAAAACATGGAAGCGTCAACTGGAGCGACAAGTCCCGCGGGATTTTCGCCGGCGGTGCGTGAGGTCGTCCTGGAAGTCCTGGAGGGATGCGCGGACTCATTGGCCGTTTACCAAAACGTCCTGCGACAACAATCGACGACGAGGGACGACGCCACTAATGTTTTCCCCAATGTCGAGTACGTCGAGCGGATACAGCGCAATAAAACGCGACTATATTACGACGCGTCTGTCTTTGTGTACCTATCCGCAGGATTTCGGAAACGTCCGTTCTGCAGGCGCTCACCGGAGGCGCTGTGGAGATGATGGATTCACGGAGGGAAGCTGCGCGTGAAAAGCTTCGACGAGACAGGTTGGAATGTATTTAGTTTATCCACTAGCCTGTCTGGAAGGCCGACATATTCATGGCAGTGGCGGCTCAGCCAATAGACCGTCCAATAACAATGAAGCCTCGAAATTAATTAATAAATTTGCGCCCGTTTGCGGGAGAAATAATAATACGCGCGGCAAGCAATTACTCTTTTTATTTGTATCACACGTGGCAACGGATTTAAATCGCGTGAGCGTTTAAAATATTATGGTAACAACGGTCGTCGTGTTTGATTACTTTTTATGTGCCTCGTTTCAGATAATTATTACTCGCGCTCTTTGGGAATTAAACATAATTTTCTGCGTACTCGTTAGTCAAATATGGAGCTGTCTCTTATATTTAAATCCGTCCACTCGTTCTGATTAATAAAAAGTTTTATTTGCTTCAATTTATTAGCCGGTCTAATCATGAAATACAAATATAATAAAGTTTCAACATTAACGGAGAAAGTCCCTCCAATCTGCCAGTAAACAAATCTAATCAGTAAACTCTATTATAAATATTCCCGTTTACATTCCGACATTACCTAATTCTTTCGATTTCTTTTTAAGAAAAAAAAATGTACGTCAAATTGAATTATTTTTTAAAGTTTTCCGATTCGCGGAATATGAATGTAAAATCGAAGCACCAAAATAAATTTAAAATTCATAAAATAAAATAAATTAAATTAAATTAAATTTATTAAACAAATTGCAATTAATTAAAATAAAATTCACTCGAAATAATAAATCTACAATATGGCAAATGCAAAAGTAAACATTTTGAAAATCTAATAAAAGCTTACATCGAAATATTTTCATGGTCGCAACGTCAAATTTAATTTACAAAATAAAGCGTGTGTTGATAAGAATTAATAAAGCTTAGAAGTTATCGACCGAATAATCTATATATTATGACGAGTATTGATCAATAGCTCCAGCTGCTACATTTCTTTACCATTGAAATGGAGACGTGAGTATAATATACGGTAAATACTCTGAGAAATTTGGCTTATCACAATCTTTATGTCCAAGTGCTTGAGAAATCATTACAACACGAAAGTAAACACTACGTCTTTTATGATAGTTCAATTAATTTCATATTTTACTGGATAATAATTTTTTATTTTAATACACCCTCAGAAAGAATTTCTGTTACCGAGGCAAAAAATACTCTTGACGCATTTATATTCCTCACAACCTCATGTAGTATAAAACTAAGACAATATCAAAATAAAATCAATGATTCTTATTCTTCTCTATCGAATTGAAAAAGATTGACTTACTGCATTGAGACAAGAGTAACTTATACAAATGTAAATTTATATATTCTTGCGTTTAGAAAAAATTTTCCCTCCATCTTGCAACGCACAAAGTTGGCACCGCGATATTCGACAAGAGACGATTAAAATATTCCATTCTCTATAATAAATATGATTGGCGCTACATTGATCCTGTTTTATGATACATTAAAGTATAATATCATTGGATCCGAAAATTATTTCTGTGGGTGTACAGTATTTATAAAAAATATATATCTCTTGGTTAAAGTTTAAGCGATCTTTTAAATTAGCTTATGAATACCTGCCGTTGTTCAAACATACTGAAATACATATATAGATGTACTACAGCATATCCTGCTGATTGTACAAAAATTAAGAGATGTCGTATATTGCAGTTTATACGTGAGCGGTATAATACAAGACCTGAAGCGAGAAATTAACGAACACGGGACCATCGATGTCTTGACCAAGGAGATCGAGAGGATCACGTCGCGGGAACAACAGGAGAATCTTTTAATAGAAGAGAACGAGAGGATGCAGACGATCGTGGCGGAGTTACGAAAAACGATTGCCGATAGGAAAACCGCGAACGAGAGGGAGGGCGAGCGTTTAACGAAGAAGCTCGCTTTGGCACGGGTAAATGTTTTACGGATACACCGTGTACGGCGATAAATCATGAAATTTTACTGTTATCCGCCGTGTGCGTAAGTAGAGGCACGTTGAAAACGGAACTCGTTGGCAAAATGTTTAGGACGAGAAGGAGAGGCTGAAACTAATTAAGGACGCGGAGATGAAATATGTCCGAGTGTGGGAAGCGGCACGTCGGGAGCAGCACGTACTGCGTTACGAGTCGGATACGGACGAATTGAGGAGGACTTTGAACGATCATTGCGTACGCGAGAGAAACGAGACTCGCGTAAATGATGTATTGACGCGTTATCTGACGCGGCGTGTAGCGGTGAGCGTTCAACCCCTCCCTGCAACTTTTCTCTTAAAACGAGCAAAAACGTCTCATAGACAGCTCGTACTTAAATAGTCAAGACTTAAAAGGGTCCGTCATTAAAATGAAGACGGACGCTTAAGCGATCCTGTAAGTTCTTCAGCGAAAAAGCTTAAGAGCTCGCTGAAAAATGTACTTAGAGATCGGCAGCTTTTTATGACTCTATCTCTCTCTCTTTTTTTTACAGTGAATACGTTAGCACAAATTCGGCGCTTCTTGCTGGATGTCGGGCAATCTGCGCGAAATAAATTTCGTCAAGTTTAAAAGCAGTCACGGCCAGTAATGCCAGAAATGAGACGCGTCGGACACGAAATGGGGCACTCGCACAAAGAAGAGCCACCGTGAAGCCTGTATATGCATTCACAGGTTGAAATTATAAATATTCTAGTGTTCACTCACTTTTGTAATTTTCGTAACTTCCAGAAATTGACCCCCAGATAACAACGGTTACACGGTGTACCTACGAGCCAGTGAGATCAAGATCGGTAAACTCACGGGCGAATCCTTGATCCGTTTGTGCGACGCCAGCGCTACAAGTGGCAAAATTTTGCTTCAACAACTTGCAATAAAGCCCGTATCAGACTACGGATTGAGATTGGGATTAGATTGAAATTTGACCAATCAGAGTAAAAGTTACTGCACTTGAGATTAGTAAACTTTACTGCGATTGGTCAAATTTCAATCTAATCCCAATCTCAATCCGTAGTCTGATACGGGCTTTACGGGTTTGTTTTCTGTTCCGGCACAGTACGGGAATTCCCTAACTTGCTATCGAGGTTTTTCGATAACGTTAACTAGGAGCAACCAATGAAAATCTGCGTCTCTTTCGAAGATCGTCCTCGCCATTGGCTGTCGCCAGTTAACGATACCGAAAAGCGTCGATTGCAAGTTACAGAATTCCCGTGCTGGTGCAATAAATTAGAGCAAGACAAGTATATTTTTTTCTCATTCTAGCTTACTGCCCTAGTTCACCAGTGCGGGAACAGAAAACAAACCTAATGTCGGCCCACGTTTGGTGACGTAATCAAGCCTAGTTCGGTCTCCTTATACAGGCTTCACGAGAGCCCACGTATACGTGTGCGTTCAGGGCGAGGTTGATTGGCGTCTGCGAACCCCTTCGACGGCGGCCGCGTCTCGTTTCTGGCATCGCCGGTCGCGCCCTGGCAGAGATAACAAAAACATTTACTTTGAATTTACAGCTCGTCGAGAATCGGATCGAGCAATGGCGGCAGAGGTACGATCGGGAGGAGAAAGTGTACGAGTGCGAGATCCGCAGAGTACGCAGCGAGATCGAAGACGCTCGGAAATACTTGGGGGAACTTACAACGGAGGTAATGATTCGAAAACTGTGCGACAGCGCGGGGGATATTTTCATTTCATCCCCGCGGCGCGGCATGGTAATTCAATTTGCATTCCGCCGCTCATTATTCCGACCGACCGCCACTGTGAATCTTAATTGTCGGATAAAGAGGATCCCCGGGCCGCGGCGCAACAAGCACAATCGCTATCTTATTTCGCATTCTCTGTGCGGCTGCCTGATTTACTGCGTCACGTTTCGCCGATTGGCAATCAGGCTCGGATAACTTGGCCCGGGTGAGGTTTAAAGGGCGCGCCGAAGTTCCGCGGGGTAATCGATAATTCGCGTCAAGAACGTGTCCGCCGAGACTCAGAAATGTCTTGATGATCGTTATTAATAGCCGAAATCTCCTCGAATTCTAGGGCTCCTGAGAACCTCGCGCGTGTTCCGGACCGGTTTACATTTAAGCGAGAACTGAACCATTGACCGGAAGTTTGCGGATTAATTCCCCCCTAGCTTAGGTATTCGTATGGGGATGCGGCGGAACTCGCAGCGCAAAATTATCCTGCCGCGAACACGCGGAAATTACTTTCGAATTATCTTTAAACGAGGAAGTGGCGTTTCTTTATATTACGATTATCTCGCAGATTCTATCGCTGTTTGCCCCGATAGGAAAGGAGAATCTCTCACGGTGAAGCTGCAAGTTGATTGGCTACACACTTCTCGGAACTGGAACACGCGCGCAAGGCTTTAAAGACCTTTCTGCTACTATTCTTCAGCCTTTAAATCATATGTATCGAGCATCACGTAAAAGATTTTGCCCCGAATGAGATAGCCGACCCCTCCCGTACGGCGGAATTTAGTCCTCACTTTTTAATCACGCGTCCGTATATAACGGCAAAGATTGGACCCACCCCTATTGCTACGAAGATACACGAGCGCGTAAAGCCCCATGAATCTCGCATAAGATACACTTATTTCCGAGAAAGACATCGGGGCTCGGTAAAATATGTCGGTAAACTCATCCCGCCGAAGCTGGATACGGGACGGTGTTTGTTGCAGCATCGCAATAACCAGGAATTCATCGACACGTACCTCGCGGAGCAGGAGGCGCTCCGGAGACAAAAGGAACACGAGGATCACGTGCTGCGCAGCACAATCAAGATGCAAGCCTGGTGGCGGGGCGTGATGGTGCGCCGGAAGCTGGGGCCGTATCGACCTGAGGAGAAAAAGAAGAAGAAGCCCATTAAAACGAAGAGATAACTCTTC